GACAAAAACGAATAATCTCAAAACATAACTGGGTGAAAAAAAAAAGGATTTTGGCAGGACAAAAACGAATAATCTCAAAACATAACTGGGTGAAACTTAGAAAGTAAGACATTCCATTTACACAAGCCTCCAAAAAATGCTAACTAGACAATGTATTGCTTAGAGAGCTATATGTCTGTTAAAGCTAGCTGAAAAAATTCCCAAAGAATGATAAATGATTAACAAAAAACCATATTCACGTAACCAAAAAACTGTATGAGGACAATGGTTACCTACGAGGACAGTGGGAAAATTTTAAAGGCGATCTTCATGTTCTTAAAGTGGATGGTAGGTACATGGATATTTGCTATATTGTTTTTCTTGACACCTTATCCATCTTCTATAAATGTTCTTTTATAACCATTCAATATTTACTAGAAAACATTTTTAACTTTAAAAACCATTTGAGGGCGCCTGGGTGGCTCAGTTGGTTAAGCGACTGCTTTCGGCTCAGGTCATGATCCTGGAGTCCCGGGATCGAGTCCCGCATCGGGCTCCCTGCTCGGCGGGGAGTCTGCTTCTCCCTCTGACCCTCCCCCCTCTCACGTGCTTGCTCTCTCTCATTCTCTCTCTCTCAAATAAAATCTTTAAAAAAATAAAAATAAAATAAAAACCATTTGAATTTGAAAAAGGGGCAGTAAGAAAAAAGTAAAAAGGGGCAGTAAGAATCTGCCTTATGACACCTGAGGCAAGGGCTAACCTACAATGGAACTACTGAATCCGATCACAGGGTTAGAATAATTTTTAGAATAACTGTTTCAACTTTAAGATTCCATTCACTTATTCAAACAAGAAATACCTAGTGAGATCATTCTCTGTGCTGAGTACTATTTTAGATGCTCAGGGTACAGAAGTGAGCAAAACAGATAAAAATTTCGGCTCTCGCAAATACATCTCTAGCATCACTGGCCTGGTATTTGGAATTTGATGTAACTAGTTAACAGATTAACAGCTGAGTACCCTTCCAACTGATGCTCTAAGGACACATATCCTATCCCAGAGACAGGAAGGTCAGAAGAGGCTCAGGGGATGCCCAAAATAGTAAGGGCTCTGAATACAATGTCTTATCATCCCCCAATTCTCCTCTACCTAAAAGCCATGGGTTTAATTTTTGAAGGAATGGGATTTGTACACCAAAGGCTCCATTCTTGTCATTCTAATCAAGAAAAATCAAATCACGGAAATGAAATCCGGTTTTCATTGAGTTTCTTACGCTTCTTATAGCCACTTAATCTCAAATCTTAGAGAAAATACCCCATTTTTTCTTTTCCAACCACATTTTTTAAGAGCACATAGAGCCAATTCACTTCAGCAGGAGGTATAGACTTTCCCTGTTCTGGGGCTTTTGAAACAGAAGCATGTTCTTACATGGTTACTCACTAAAATCCAAGGGTGGCTCTGTGTACCAGGTAACTGTAGGTTATAAAGTCATAAAGGGAAGGGGAGTGGAGATAAAAAGAAGAAAATAAAGGTGCTACACTTTCAAGAAGGATCTACTTAACGACCCTAATGAAAAGGTCTTTTTCCCTGGCCTTTCCTGAGTGTTAATATAAAAAGACAAGGAAGACAAGCTACTCCTTTCTGCTCTTCACCTCTCTAGCCTTATTAATACCTTTAAATTCAGTCAATCTCAACTCAAAACTTTCTACCGGGGGGGGAGGGGAAAAGGGAAAAGATTTGTGGCTGCATGTTTAAGAAAGAAGCTGAATTCATCACAGTGACAGGGGAGAGTGTTGGCAGAGATCTGAGCTATTTATTCTTTTAGGAAAATCCTATAAAGAATGACACAAGGAAGCCTCTATCTGCAGTCTTGTTCATCACGCCGGTGAAGAGTCAGATAACAGATGTACGCAGTAGCGTGATTTAGTGCCAGGAGCTGGCCCCCGATGTGTATTAATACAGCGGCAAAGCGAAACGCACCTCTCTTCATCACTCATTTCTATAAAAGAGGTGGAATCCGAGATGGCCCGATGTGAGGCAGAGCAAGCCCATTTGTTCTACTGACTGATGGTGCGGGCTCGGGCTATGTCCTTCACCTCCACGGGGCACTCAGGTTGTGGATAGGAAAAAAAGAAAATGTTCAGTGAAGCAGACCTTAGTCAACAAGTGAGAGGAGGAGCTGGGCTCAGGAGGAGAAGTGTTGAATGCCCAAACCTCGTTTAATCCCTCCCAGTAACATTTCCTGCTTTGAGTGTGGAACAAGGTTTTTAAACTCTTCTCAATAGTTCTTGTCTTAGGAACAATTAAAAGCTAAAAATAGAAGCTAGATATTGAGGGGGGAAAAAGAACAAAAGATACAAGAGGGGAGACTGTTGTAATGCTTCCAATACCATAGGCTGGATTTTGATGCAGTCACAATTTGGAACCAATGCTATCTTATACAACACAGAACACCTGAAGTGTGTAACAGCGCAGCTCTCGAAGTCATAAGGAAACCGACTTGACCTTGGCTCTGCAATTTATCATCCACGGGACCTTGGAGAAGTGATTTAACCTCTGTAAGCCTCAATTTTCTTATGTGTAAACTGGGAATAAAAACAGCATCTACCTTTTAAAGTTGTTGCAAAGATTAAGTGAAATAATGCATGCAAAGTAATCGGCTCAGGCCATGTCCATGTAGAAATCACTGGAAAAAATTTACTATAATTATCAGACCTGTGATTAAGATTGTCCAGGAAGAACCATTATCAAGCAGTCACCCCAAACAGAAGCTGAAAGAAGTCGATTTTAAAGTATGCTGAAACTTACTAAGTTAAGGGAGAGAGATAGATAGAGTTCCCTTCTCTCTGAGGTCTATTCTTCACTCATCAACTGCTCTGATCTATACAATATACAGTATTTTCTGAAGAAAATAAAATAATCTATGATATACTCAATTTCCTCAGAGTGAATTCACTATCATCAAGAAAATAACTGTACTTCCGATAGGTCCTACACACAGATATGATCTTTTTATCCAGAGCAATTTATCCTCAACTGTACTGAGATAACACAAAAATTTCCTGATTACCGATTATGTTTAACTGTCTTCTCCTAACTCCAAAGAAAAATACCTACAAACATCCAATATTCTTTCTGATATAAATAATGACTACCCCCCATTTTTTAAGGATAACATACATAAAGGGCATAAATCATAAGCATACAGCTCAATGAATTTTTACATATGCATATACCCATGTAATTCCTACCCAGTTGATGACAAAGAGTATTTCCCAGAAGACTTCTGATTATGTCGTCTCCTGGTCACTACCCCTCACCAAAGATAACCACTATTTCGGTTTCCAACCAACTGGTTTTGGCCAGAAAACTGCAAGGTTTTAACTTGAAAAATAGTTTTTAATTAGAAATTTCATGACTAGTAGAGTATTAGTACTCCACTACACACAGTAACAGTGAGAATGTATTGTACTATGTGCCAAGTAAAAAAGTAAATAAACCCATGTGGCTCCTTGGCTACTGACTAAAACTGCCACCCTAACTGGATTTTCATGACCACAGACCTAATTTCTTCTCTGTGCTAGAACAAAAGCACAGATGACTGAAGATTGCTAACTGTAGAATACCGGGATTCAAACCCAAAAAAGCCACATGACACTGTGAAAAAACACAGACTTCAAGGTTAGAGGGAACTAGGTTTGGATTCTTAAAATGTGTGTGACCTTGGGCAAATTACATCTCACATTCTTATTTTCCCAAGTAAAATGGGAATAAAATGACCTACCTTATCATAAAGGTTATATATAAAACATAATTTAGTGCCCGACACACAGTAGGTGCTCAATAAATGATAACGACATACAGTTACCTGCATTTGGGCTGGACAGAGATGCTGTGGCCACAGGTTTCCGTTTCCTCTTGATGTCACGTGAACATGGGGGTCCCAAGTGTATGTTTGCCTGTCTGCAGATACAAGAAAGAAAAACATTGTTTTCATTTTTAATTCTTATTGTAAGACATTATGTTCAGCCCAGATAAAATCCTTGACCCATTATAGACATACACTAACAAGACAGGCATCGTTCTTTGTCATCAAGTGTCAAGTACAAGATTATTCAGGATTAATCATAACTCATTCTTTATGCACAATATATACCCATTTTAAACCTTTTACCTAATTCAGAATAGCAGACACTCAAAGATTAATTTCAATAAATGTGTTTCATTACATGCTGATTTTTGTACAATTATTTTTCATAAAAACTTTAACTGCTATTGTTCTAAACTCACTAATGAAATACCTATTCCCAAGTGGTAATATATTGAAAAGTTTAATGCTGCATGAATACCGGTATTTGCATAGAATTTTAATAGGAATTTAACCCTTCTATCACTATAAATCTGGATTTTTAACAGTGTCTGTATCACAAGTTAAGTAAGTTTGATTTCTGTGATTTTTAAAAGTATTAATTACTTGCTAATAATATATTCCCTCATCTGAATATTCAACTTATTTTAAAAACAGTGGGTGTTCCAAAGCTGGAAAAAAGCAACAGATTGCCTGAAAGACAATGGACTTCACTCTGCAACAACAGCTGGTACGCTTTTTTAGTTGCCCACTTCCTCCTTCCTCAAACTAGACAGATCCTACCCCTGATTAAGGACCAAGCTGACTCTCACCTTTACACAAAGCTTTCCTTGAACAGTCAAGGCCTTACTGACCATGAATCATTATTTAACTGGTATACGTATATCTTGTTTCCCTAATGAGGCTTACTCCCCTTGAGAACAGGGACCATGTTTATACTTCTTTCACAATTTTCCAGTGATCCACCAACCTCAGCACAAGGCACTTAACTGACAACCATTAAGTATCTGTTGACAAGAACTGATACGAATGAAAGTTCTAAAAACCAAATAGTCTACTGTACACTTAAAAGTGGTTAAAATGGCAAATTCTATGTCATGTATATTTTACCACAATTTTTTAAAAATAGTGAGAGTATGTACATATAAAAAAGAATCTAGTAAAATTATACCAGATGAACTCCTAATTGGTAGTCTTAGCTGAGGATTAAGTCTCACGGCTTAATGATCTTAAAACTAGAACCTCAGTCAAATCTAAGAGCACCTAGTTAGTTAACAAAGCACCAAGACAACCGCTGAATGGACAAATTTTCCTATTCAGAGGGCCCCCAATCTGGCAACTTCCACAGTTTAAAAGCATACATGTATATACATTATTTTCTCTACATGCAAAAGCTTAAGAATCAATTCACTTTATAAATGAGAAAAGATAAGAATTTAACTGAAATCATAAGATTTCTGGAATGCACAGAACACTACAATAGGCAGAGATTTACAGTATATAAAGCCCATGTTTTGGAAAATTCCATCCAAGTCACTCTGTATTGATATCCCTCTCTTCTATATGGAAAAAGAGTTAACTTTTGAGTATCCCATGAATAGTTAATTCTGAACACCCAAAGTGAAATGTAAATATAAATGTATAAAGTAGGGGAAAACAATTCATTTTTCATACCTTACCGAACTCCTGGGAATAAATCAGCATGTTGATTTAATAATAAGAAACACTGATGACAGAATATCAAAGGTAGAGAGGCCTTCAGTCTAAATGGAGAGAAGGTAATTCCCTTTGAAGCCAAAGACACAGAAAAGAGAGTGACCCTACAAAATTTTGGTTTCTGTCAAAACAGAGGAATGTACAGAATAGGGCTTCCATCTTTTCCACAAATAAGGTACTTGAGTACACATAGATCCAAACTCAAAAGCTGGCCACTTTGCTCTATTCCAATCATGCTTCTCCTGAAGTACTTCAGAAAGACAAGCCAAATAAAGGGTAACAGTATATATTCATGCTTCTTTCTTCTTTACCTTAAGCTTATATAATAACAGTATATATTCATGCTTCTTTCTTCTTTACCTTATAAAGGACTCTCCAAAACTTTTTAGATTAAATGTTAACATCCTTTCTTCAAACTAAACTATGTTATTAGATGTCAGGATAGTGCTTACCCTTGAGCTGTGGGGTAGAGGGGAGGAACAACAGTGACTAAACAAAGCACCAGGAGCTTTTGGGCTTGTTTCTGGATCTAGATGCGGGTTACTTGAATGTGACTTCATTATCCTTCGTTAAGAAGTTTCATTAAGGGGGGCGCCTGGGTGGCTCAGTCGTTGGGCGTCTGCCTTCGGCTCGGGTCGTGATCCCGGGGTCCTGGGATCGAGCCCCGCGTCGGGCTCCCTGCTCGTCGGGAAGCCTGCTTCTCCTTCTCCCACTCCCCCTGTTTGTGTTCCTGCCCTTGCTATCTCTCTCTGTGTCAAATGAATAAAATCTTAAAAAAAAAAAAAAAAGTTTAATTAAGGGGTGCCTGGGTGGCTAGTCAGTTAAGCATCTGCCTTTGGCTCAGGTCACGATCCTAGGATCATGAGATTGAGCCCTGCTTTGGGCTCCCTGCTCAGTGGGGAGTCTGCTTCTCCCTCTCTTCTTCCCCTCCCTCTGCACTCGTGCTCCCGCTCTCTCCCAAATAAAATCTTTAAAAAAAGTTTAATTTTAAAAAATGCAAAACAAAAAAACAAAAACATTGCTTCTTCAAGATCAACGCAAAATGCTGAATTTTATGAGACAAATGCAAATGAAAAGTATAAGAACAGTACTCAAAGGAGTTTTAAGATATTAATTCTTGGAGTATCCACTTGGGCTGAACGAAATAAATACTGCCTTTTATTTATACACCATCCATCATTTTCACAGCTTTGCATGTTTGATATAGGTCAGTAAGACGGTTAAGGGCCCTATTATTATCCCTCCTTTACTGACCTAGTCAGTAACATTTATCTCACATTTTCAAGAAATGGCACATTTGGGAATAAAAAGATGAAATCATTTATGTCCAAAAATATTAAAATTTTTAATCATTTTAAATGGAAATATGGTGCTTTTTAAAATGCTTATTTTAGTAAAATGGAAGTAAATATTAATTACCTACCATGAGGCATACAGATTATTACACTGCACTCACTACATCCTGCAGCGTCCTTAGGGGGCTGCTATGAACGCAAAGGCTCAGGTGGTCCTTCCCAGGCCCCACCCCTCTGGGCCATGGTTCTCAGATCCCCACTCTGCCCTGCCCAGTGATGGTAAGGGCTTCAGGGTTAATTGTCCCTACATTAGGGCGCCTGGGTGGCTCAGTTGGTTAAGC